GAAAACTTTGACACTTTGAAAAACTTTGGCGAAAACTTTGACACTTTGAAAAACTTTGACGAAAACTTTGACACTTTGAAAAACTTTATCGAAAAGTTTGATACTTTGAAAAACTTTATCGAAAACTTTGACACTTTGAAAAACTTTGGCGAAAACTTTGACACTTTGAAAAACTTTGGCGAAAACTTTGACACTTTGAAAAACTTTGACGAAAACTTTGACACTTTGAAAAACTTTGGCGAAAACTTTGACACTTTGAAAAACTTTGACGAAAACTTTGACACTTTGAAAAACTTTGGCGAAAACTTTGACACTTTGAAAAACTTTGACGAAAACTTTGACACTTTGAAAAACTTTGGCGAAAACTTTGACACTTTGAAAAACTTTGACGAAAACTTTGACACTTTGAAAAACTTTGGCGAAAACTTTGACACTTTGAAAAACTTTGACGAAAACTTTGACACTTTGAAAAACTTTGGCAAAAACTTTGACACTTTGAAAAACTTTGGCGAAAACTTTGACACTTTGAAAAACTTTGGCGAAAACTTTGACACTTTGAAAAACTTTGACGAAAACTTTGACACTTTGATTTACTATAGTTCACTATAGTAAACTATAGTTAACTATAGTTAACTATAGTTAACTATAGTGAACTATAGTATTTTTTTGTTAGGGTCAGCATGTTTTTGCCTTTTTATTCACTTACGCAATATTGAATTCAATTACTAAACCCACAGTAGATTCCGTCAGCCATACCACGATTGCAAGAAATTTATACTGACTGCAAATATGCAAAAACGATGTCTATAATTCTAATGCATAGTATGGTACTACAAAATTTATTACAAAAGTATCATCATTAACATGCACGTGTTTTTGACTTTTTACCATTTCCCCTACGTGATGCCATACATTTCATGGTTGAGTAGTTTTGACTAGTGATTTTAGTGCAAAGTATCCAAAATAAACATCTGACCAATTTTCATAATTTTCGGTCACATAGTCAGAAAATTTTTCCATATCATGTTCTTGTGCGTTTCTTTTTCCTTTCAGTATATAAAAAGTTAAATGTTTTCCCAATAGCAAACGAGAGCTCTGTACCTGTATGACCCATGTTGAACCTACGTGTGGAATAATTTTTTAAAAGTACTGATAGTCACGTGAGTTCTACACAATTAGATATTCCTCAGATGTGCTCGTTGTATAGCCAGACTTTAAATCATTAAAGTTGTGCCACCTAGAGATGTTTGTATGTATTTTGGTTTTACGAACACTAGAGGGTAAAGCGAGAGTTTAGTGTCGTTCCTAAAAGTGTCAACATCTTTAATATTCATTCAAGACAATGAGACAGGTATTGAAGTCCACCTAAATACTTTTTTTTTAATTTCAAAATCAAAAGAAATTAATATCAATGCTTATTGTATTGCAAGCGTACAGTTTTCTTAGTTTTATCACTTTGTGGCTTTAGGCAACTACACAACCTCATTCGATTTTTCAAACAAATAAAGCAACGCAAGAAATTTCATTCGGCAAATTCCGCCGTCGAAGATCCGGCATCAGATTGTTCAAGTGTCAGTTTAAATGTCTCTACCATTGATTAAATAAACGAAAATCAAGGTAGATTCGGTTCGACTTTTCTGGATTATATTTATTGTATTACATGTCGCTATTTTCGCACAGGGGCATAAGGAGAGTTAATACGTATAAACAGGTTCTCGGAGGACTTTCTTATATCCTTATTACATTTATTAGAACTGTTTTGTAAAGGTTACATTAGACACCATGCATTGTGTAAAATTTTGAAATATCGAGTCGAATCCCGGACGATCCATTTTCTTTCTTTTCCAAATACTTTTTTTACTAAATGATAGTATTCAGCATGAGGAATGAAAAAAATATGAGGTCTGGCTTGCACAGACTAATAAAATCATCATAAGAGTGTGATAAATATTCCATAGAAAACGAATATTATAAAGACATAATAAAGAATAAGCAATCAAATCTTTATATCCATATTGGCATATTTTATTTGCTTCATTATACATGTATAAATTTAATAATTCTTCAAATTCAGTTAGGGGAATCCGAATCGACCCCTCCCCCGTTTACTTTTTTCCTAAGCGGGGACACAAAATTCTATGAATTAGCTTGTTTATTAAAAATATCCACTAGTATTTAACTTTTTACCAAAATGGAACGATTCCGTAAACATTTTAGGGGAAATCGGCACAGAAAATGGACCCATTGAGTATCGCTTAAGGGCACTTGTCCTTTTCCAATTTTAATAGCGGTTGAGAATGCAGTTCAATAACAAAGATATGCTGCTACCACCATTGAAATACGATCATTATTGAAATGAATATTTCAATGGTGGTGGAGGATGCATTTCCATAACAAACATAAGTTGCAACCACCATTAAATTACGACATCTACTAAAATATAAAATACCACAAAATGAGGTGATTTGAAACTTTACCGATAAAAAAAACATTAAACTACATGATAACAGCATGCTGTTTTGTCGTTAGCTAAATCCCCCATAACAAGTTATAAACACGTTACTGATTGCAATGCATTTGTCGACGTGACGTCATTTCGTAAATCTTGACGCAGTTTACAAAGTATGCAGTGAAAAACAAATCAAGTAATATTTTCTCAATGAGAAATGTATTCTATAATTAAATAAAATATTATTTACATATACTTTATAGGCCATTTATAGTATAAGGGGTCTGGATGGGTGGGTCAACTGAGTGCACTTTTTATGCAAATGAGGTCAAAAATGCTGGATTCTGATTGGCTGGGGGGATAGGCGGGTCAAGGGAGTGCAGATTGGGGGGTCTGGGGGGATAGCTGGGTCAAGGGAGTGCAGATTGGGGGTCTGGGGGATAGCCGGGTCAAGGGAGTGCAGCCCCTGGGGGGATAGCCGGGTCAATAGAGTGCAGCCCCTGGGGGGATAGGTGGGTCAAGGGAGTGCAGATTAGGGGGTCTGTGGGGGATAGCCGGGTCAATTCAGTACATATAGCCCCCTAAATACAGGGGTGTTTACACTGTGTTTACATTATATACTATACGCTGCTACTACTATGATTTTGTCAGCGACTTTTATACCTGTTGCATCATCTGTAAGGGCCCTGTGCAAAAAATACGATAGACCTACGTTTTTTTTATTCTGACTACACAGGTAAATACTTGGCAGCGATTCAAGTTTGTTTAGGGCCTTGTGCAAAAAATATGCTTACCTATGCATTGTGACGTCATAAACTTGGCAGCGACGTCATATTAGTCCTTCACAAGCCGCGATGGCTGCTTATTTTGATACAATAACACAGACTTTCACAGCGCTTGAGAATTCATGTAATAACAGTATGGTCCTATGGGTTTCAGTACCAAAACTGATTTTCTACCGTTTTTCTTCCAAGAAAGTTCTGAACAGCTGAATCCTGGATCAGCCTAGATGTTATTTCACTGGATTATTTAATGAATAATACTCTACTGAGTTACCTGGTTACATGGTAAGTTTTAACAAACTTTTCTTTATACATTTTCTATGAAGGTCATCTTTGTATTTATTCATTATTACTGTGGTATATACCTTATGTTTAGAACATTCATACAAACACTGCCATTGTTTACCCTGAAATACACTAGGACACTAAAAGATCTTCAAAATGTTGATAAATCTTTTTTGCATGAGTTATGATCATATTGTCTCACATTCCTTTTATTGGATCAGTATTCTAAATATTCTTATGAGGAGACTCCTAGCATATCTTATAAAATACTGATACATGCTTTTAAAACAACTAAAGTGATATTCTCAGTTGTTATTTCTAATATTTCTATGAATCTTTAATCACAGTGACCAAAAGAAGGATATGGAGATAATCAATCAGATCATATTATGCCAATGAATCTTTTGTCTCAAATCTTTTTTAATGAAATATACAGAATCTTTTGCCTTATTTGTCACTCATATTTTTACATTCTGGTGCAACAGTGGCCCAATGAAAGTGGGAAAAACTCAGTCTGAGCATCTCTGTAAATCTATAGACATGTGTGCCCCCCCTTTTTTTTTAACCTTCATGTATATACATGTATGTATTTTATTTAGTCAGTGATTTCAAACATCAACATGTAAAATATATATTGAGTACTTTAAAAGTGAATATGTATGATTTGTTCACCCTGAATATTCTGACATACTAATGGTGACATCAGTTAAAAGAGTAATTAGTTATGTAAAATTCAGTTTATATGAATGTAAATGAGGTATTTATTCTCAGTTCATGTAAGGTATAATTTGCATGTAACCCAGAGTGTATTTAATATTACTATGATGGGTCATTCTGGGATTGAATTTAAATCAGAAAAAATGTTTACTAAATTTTGGTAAAATACATATGGTATCTTTTACATTTCTGTCCTGTTTGTTTGTCAATTGTTGCTTTACTTCCTTTGTAAAATGAGGTTAATTTGTGTATCACTGAATATTGTATGCTTTTTTTCAGGATCAGCTAAGATGTTGTTTCACTGGATTATTTAATTGGGCATATAATTGGATAATTCTGGTAAGTTTGTCTTTGTTTTGTTTACATTTCCTATGAAGGTCATCTTTGCATTTAACATGATTATATGGTTTAATTTAATTACTGTGTAATTCTTATGTGATCTAATATCTCTAACATTCATATAAGCACAGTCTTATTTTGTCTAAAATATACTAAGGAAACTTCATATTGTTAATAAGTCCTTTTGCATAAATTATGATATAATGTCATAATTCATTATGTCTGTTACCCATGGAATTCAGACTTACTAAATTGTGATCTATAAGGAATGTAATAAAAGAAAAAGTAAGAATCTACAAAAGGTTTATCCTTGTTTTGATTCTAAATATGTGGTATATATGGCATACATATATTTTCATTTTCACTTTTGTTTCTTGGTAATGAGCTTTTCAAAAAATGAAGGACTACATGTTGTACTGTGATGATGCTAAAAAAAAAATAAAATATGTATTTTTCTGTATGCATTACTGATAGCTATTAAACCAAAATTGAATATGCTGTTAATAAAAAGTCTTTTAGTGTCTAAATAATTAATTTGATAATCATTTTATTTGTGATATCAATACAGTAATTGTGCTTGTTTATTATCTATAAATAACATGATGAACTTTTCTCATCTCGAGTTAATGTTAAAAACAATTTGATTTGAGTCTAAAAACAAATATTTTCATGATCTTTTTTGACATTGTACATGTTGTATTTAAACATGCATTGTTTCATGCAGTACTCTGTCATATTAACAAAATGGTTTTATTTCTACAGTCATCAACATGGAATGTATGACTTCATCTTTATACAGTCGGGTTCTGGTCCATGGCGAATCTCGGCAAGATTTTACCCCCAGTGAAAAAGGCTTGTAATCCACCGTGTAGGTCTTTTAAAGTTGTTTCACATTGTTTATGATTGTGATTATGTTATCACTCACCTATATGTTTAATGTCAGCTATGGTAAATAGCCCATTTCTGTGTAATTTGAGATAATGTTTTTGTCATGTGCTTAAAGTATGGCCTGCTATTCATGTCATCATTTAAAAGTAGATCCTAAATAAATCTGTCTTTAAAAAAAAATACATTTTACAAATGACATTTAATATGATTGATTAGAGTATAGGAATCCATATATATAAGAGATATTATTTTGCATTACATTTATAAGAGGCATTGTCTCATGTAATTTAAATCATAATAACAAAAAATGGGTTTTATTTTCTGTACAGTCCTCAACCTGGAAGATATGTTTTGTTCCTAACCATCTATAATCCATTCTCTAAGTGAAGTGAAGCCTGGCTGCTGGTCTTCCTTTGGAAATACACAGTTTGTCAATCAACATAGAAACACACAAACTTGAAGGTAAAGTTTCAATGAGATACAATTGTAACTTTTATTTATTTATTTATTTATTTTTTGTTACATATGCATGTTTATATTTTGGAATTGATAAGTAAATGATATATGATTTTTTAAATAAAGAGGGCTTGGTGGTCATGGTCATGTTTAAACCATATTGATATCCTTCACAAGAAAAGGCATAAAAATTCATGATCAAATTTTAAAACTAAAATGTATGAAGTTTTTCTTTGCCAAATGATAGTTAACAGCTAAAGATAGCATATCTATAGAATAAGTTAAATATGGCTAATTTGTAAACCCCCAGCTTCCTTAATAGCATAGTTGGTAAAGATAAGAAGTTTTGACTTCAATTGCTGATGAATTCTGAATTTTCCATTTAATATTAACATTATATCAAAGGGAAAGAATACTATAATGTGGCTCATTAGGATGACCATAAAAGAAATCTTAATGACCCTCTTGACTATGTATAAAGATTGTAACCTTATAACTGATGTAAGATGATCTGATTGTGTGGAAATAAAATTCCCTGGTGTTTCTACTAACCAAGATCTTTTTCTGAGTGTATGGGACTGCTGTAAACCTTCTCCTGTTTATAAAAATAATACTTTGGAGCATGACACTTTATTCATAAAAGGTACTTTCAATATAATTTCTATGAGTTTGTGTTCTTTCTTTTATAATAATCTAGTGTTATATCTCCTTTAACCTCATTAATATGCATGCTTCCAAAATCTTAGATCTGTCTGTATAGTTTCTTCAGGTCTTTGAACACAAATACCCTGATTCAATCTTTTGAGGTAGACATCATAGAGACATCATAGATGATAATATCAGAATGTATATATCACAATCTTGATCATAAGGTCAATTTAAATGGTCTTAGGCACAACAAATGAAAGTTAAAACTTTTTTTTTATTAGAATACATAATTTTGTAATAAACAAATACTGGAAAAGTTACTCTCATAATAAGCCTTAATGTCCTCCAAGAGTTCAGTTTGGACTTCCTCCATTAATCCTTGTATCTTGTAATCCTTGTATCTCAAATGGTTTTGTGGGCTAAAAATCATGTGTCTTTAACAACATTTTTTTCTGACAACTGTTTTCTCTTATCATCTATAAACTTGACTTCTTCTCTAGTCAAAGGTCTTTCAGGGTAATCCAAGTAATTCTTACCCTCTTTTGGTAATAAATGGTTATATTCCTCATTGGCTTCTTCTGCAATCAAGGGTCTTTCTATGTAATCTCTGACAACATTAGGATCACCCTTCTCTGGACTTAATTGGTTATATTCTTGTTGAGAAATGATCTCACTAGTGCCATCTTTTTTTATTTTAACTGGTATACCTCTGTCTACATCTTTCTCTGAAAGAATTCTCTCTCCAAACTGAATTTTACTCATTCCTTTACTCTTTTCTTTACTGGAGGTGTTACCCATGGTTAATATGGAAAGTCAAAATCTTATGTTACAACTTGTATTTATACCCTTTTTGTCTATATTTAGAATTCCATCAAGCTTATATTGCATTACAATTTTTCTTTTTCAACTAAGACATTATTTTTTTTTATTTTTTCAGGATTCTCTTGTGAGGGCTTATGGAAATGATCTATGTCTACTCTTAGAATGGTGAAAGACTTTCAGATTATGCAAAGACTAACAGAATATCCTCTCTTGGAACACTGAAACAAGAAAACCAAACTTAAGAAGATGGAGGATTTAAGAAGAACATAGATAAATATGATTTCCAACCAATTTAACCAATACGGTCATAGACTGTGGTTTACAGGATGACAAAGAAAGGACTCAGGATTGTATCTTTCACTGTCAGACACTGACTATGGATAAAGTGTAATCATTTATCAGACTGAGATCTAGTCAAATCAAGTATTGAAAATATGATTTTCTGATAGCATGAGCTCTTTAAAAACTAATTCTCAATGACCTCAAAGTATCTGAAAGTGACTTTTATTTTTACCAATTCATATTGAAGACTGTTGTTATGTATGGGAATTACACATTTAAACCTTTTATTTTTCATCTAATTTTTACAACCCCCTAGAAATTAACACAGATATCCAGATGCTGGATTTAATGTTATTATTTAACTTTCCTGGAATTGTAAATATATTTTGTTTGTGTATGTATCATGTTTAATTTTGAATTTAAATTGGGTCTCAATAAGACCCCCAATAAAGATGCAAGTGTCCCATAATCTGTGTTTTAATAATATCTTGAATATCTTTATCATACCATATTGTACATACTAATTACATATAGAATGGTTGTAGGAATGCACTTTGTTGTTAAGGACACTTTGTCAAGGTCAAAGCATAAGATTATTGAGATGACTTCTTTGACAATAATTTGTAACTTACAAACTTCACATCATAAGTACACACTCAGATGAAGAATCAATAAGATATTTCTATAGATTTTTTTTTTTGGATCATTTACTCCTGGGTAAAAGTTAGTAACTGAGATTACTGATTTGAGTCCTGTAATGCAATAACTTTAACATTGTGTGATAACTTATAGACTTTATAAAAATTAGGTGCAAATTCTTAGGATAGGAATGAAATGTTAATCAAATGTACAATGTTCAAAGGTGTTTATATGACTATTACTATGTAATACCTTGGTTTTCTGTAAAAATCCTATATTCACTACATAGATAAAGACCGGTATAATATATATTTTAAACTATGATGAAGGAAATAAAAAGGTCAAAGCTCTCCCCTTCATATCTGTCATATTCTGTCATACACAACAATGGATAAATTGCAGTCATTTAACAAAATGAGGTCTAATCAAATCCTAGAATTGATATTGTTATTTTCTGATAATATGAGATCTTTTAAAAAAAAATTCCCAGACTTCAAAGTATCTTAATGTGACTTTTATTTTTACCAATTCATATTGAAGACTTTTAAACCATTTATTTTTACCCTGGAACTGTAAATACATTTTGTTTGTGAGTGTGTGTGTGTGTGTCTATTTTGAAGGTGCTATTAAACCTGTGTTTCATGTTTGGTTTTTAATATTCACCAAGAAGTTGTAGTGTGATATTTTTAATAAAAACATATCAGTTGTTACACGCCTTATGCACCTTGCATGGGTTTAAAAATAAAATTCGGTATGTTTTTTTTTAATTTAAATGAGTAAAAATATTTCGAAAATATTTCTAGATTCATCTCTCTCTCGCTCTCTCTCTCTCTCTTTATATTAGGGTATTCATTGTTCATTCTCGAATTAACATTTACAAGATCTCCCAATATATAATTATATATACAGTTAAACCTGTAAATTGTAAATAAATGTAGTTGTACATTAACAACCATACATTGTAGGGCAAAACTTGGTTGCAAGCGATGGCCCTTAACAAAATGAGGTCTAATCAAATCCTAGAATTGATATTGTTATTTTCTGATAGTATTATATATGAGATCTTTAAAAAAAAATTCCCAGACTTCAAAGTATCTTAATGTGACTTTTATTTTTACCAATTCATATTGAAGACAGTTGTTATGTATGAGAAGTATACATTTAAACCTTTTATTTTTCATCTTATTTCTACAACCCCTAACAAATTACACAAGCAGGATGACAACGTATTTTGTATGTGTGTGTGTGTGTGTGTGTGTGTGTGAGGGTGTGTGTGTGTGTGTGTGTATGGAGGGGGGAGGGGGGGGGTAATTGGTAAGCCGTTACATGTGATGTGTAAAAGCTAGCTTTGGTGTAATTATTACTTTCCTGGAACTGTAAATACATTTTGTTTGTGTATGTGTGTGTGTGTGTCCTATTTTGAATTTAATAGGTCTCAATAGGACCCCCATAAAGATGTTAAGTGTCCCCTGATCTGTGATGTAATAATATCTTGAATATTTCTATCAACCATTAGACTTCATGCTTACTACACAGAACAGGTTAGAGTAATACACTTAGTTTTATAGGACACTTTGTCAGGGTCAAAGCATGTGATTATTGAGATATCTACCTTTGACAATAATTTGTAACCTGCAAAATTCACATCATAAGTAAAGAAAGATTCGGAGATTTTCTATTGATTTTTGGATCATTTTTCTCCTGGGTAAAATTCAGTTGTTGTAACTATAACATTTTGTGATAACCTAGTGACTTTATATCAGCTTTATTGGGTGGCATAGCATATTCTTTGGAAAGAATTGAAATGTAAATCATATGCACTATGTTCAAAGATGTTTAAAGACTATTACTATGTAATACCTTAGAAGTCTGTAAAAATCTTTTCACTGCATAGATAAAGACTGGTTGGAATCATATATGTTTTGAAATAAGGTTTAGGGAAAAAAGTCAAGACTGTGGATATGACTTTTATTCAAATGGTGCAGTACAGCAACTCTGGTGATTTACATACCTTCAGTCATAAATAGATAGGTATTGGGAAGACTCCTCTAGATTTTGAAATTTTTAATTCAAAAGTATACAACTTTTTTTTTAAAGTTTGAAAGATTAAATGGCAGCATATCATTTGCTTGTGAATTAAAAAAATAAATCCAAACATATACATCTTTGGATGATAATTATATAATTTTATCAATTCCTGGACTTCGGTCTTGATATCATCCTTTAATGTCCTTAAAATTTTAATGACTGTCTTTTAGTTTTAGTTGAATTCGTTTCTTTTCTACATGTGAAAATGACATCATCCAAAGAAGTTCTTTGTCTGCATGTTATATGAAGAAGACAATTTTCATCACAGTGAAAGAGATTGATTTGTTAAACATAATGCATTGATGCACAAATATATTTTAAAATTTCTAATAGCTAGGGTTCATATTTCTTTATATGGAATGCTAAGTACTGTTGATTTCAATTTTTGTGAACAAAGACAAACAAGTAGAAAAAATGTACATGATGTGTCAGAAAAGCATGCAGAAACCTGATGACTTTATCATTGCTGATTAAATCAAATTATGAGTTTCATCTTTGTTACATTGTAAACATTTCTAAGTAGGGCACACACCAGAAACTTAAAATTATTATATCAGGGTTTAACACAACAATTCCAAATGATTTTTGGACGCTTTTCATGTATCAGAAAGACAAAACAGAATGTTTGT